ATGAATTCTTTGGTGGCAATGCGACTGGAAGTGGTTTTGAGAAGGCTTCTTGAAGAGTTTTATTCGGATGCTTTCGGCGAAGGCTTAAGTTCTAGGATAAGCAATCCGTAATATCAGGCATCGCTTAATATAGCCTGGCCTTCCCAGATTTTTTTGACCAGGGCTTGATTGATTCTTGGTCCTGAAGCCCAATCCCACTATAGTGGAAGAAACTTACTAGAAGCAGTCGATGAGGCTAAAGCGAACACTCAAATGGAAATTACTATGTAACAACATTAAATGTTGTTATGATCTTCATCATTTGAAAAGCCCATTTTCATCCTACGGTAATGTCCACTATAACTTCTGAATCCTATAAATGTCCGGCAAAGTAATGTTTAAACAACAAATAACGCAAATCTGACTACGATCGATCTTTAAAGGCACCGGAAAATCGAGAACAATGTGGGAATTGCTTCAAATAAAAAAAACTTTCAAAAACGAATTTAGGAAATACAAAAGAAATGGAGCACTGCAGCGCGACTGTTACGGTTTCGATTCCGCACGGGTCCCGCCATGGCACCTTTAATTGCCAACCGTTGAGTTGGAGCGCGCCAGGCGATATTAGAGATTAGTGGTTGCCCATCATTTGTGTTTGTAATTTCCGTGGAACGCTAGCTTTAGGAACGCGGTTATATCCAAGTTGTAACTCATATCCATCTTAAGAGGGATCCAAAGGGAAGTTACAGTAGCGTTCGGCGAAATGCTACTTCAGTTGTACTTTTCAGTCGTAACTTCTTTCCTACTGGATCTAATCATGCGAAATTTCACTATGTGTAGCAAGGGTGTAGTGTGAATATTTACTACTGTGAACCCTCAATCTGATCATGTTCCAGATATCCCAAAGGGCTTGAACTCATAATCAACTGAAATTAGGGACACTGGTACTTCTAGGATTTCTTTTCTTTTTGCCATGTTCAAAGTATACGAGCGCTAATGCCGAACACTGTAGAGAAGAATAACGCCCATGAAGTGCGAATAACTGCAGACGTCACTAACTTCATTTAAACGAAGTCCACTACTGCAAAAAACACCCTGCTCTCAGTTACGTGGGGTGTGGTGCAGTAGGAACGAAATTGTCGCGTCGCGGCGAGAAGACGCCGCGCGCGAAGGAATGTTGCAAAGTGCAGTAGCAGGTATACAGAAACAATAGAAATAATAGTAGAATCATGCCAAAAGTAATAATCGCATAGCGATTGAGCTGTATGAAGAACATTAGAACTGTTATAACGAGGCAAATGGTCCGCGACAGCCGCGTACGGCACATCGATTACGCAGAACCGTTCCTACTGCCCGTCTCCACAGCTATGTGGATAATGCTGCTTTCCCGTCAATCAGGGTTGGATGGTGTAAAATATGCCTAAGTTAAACCTAACAAAATTCTGCACGATTTGCTCCACTAAGAAAAAAGTTATGAACGAAAAAGCGTGAAAACGTTTTTGAACGCTACTGTATGTGTTATGCGAGTGTAGGTGAGAAATAAAAAACAGGAAGGTTGAGTAGTCTCGAGAAGAAAACCCTAACGGATTTTGATCCTCAGTAGAAGTCTGCTTTTCCAATAAGCGAGTAGAAGGTGCTAAGAGATGTTTCTACTTGAAATTCCACCGATCCAATATTATCTTGTGTTTGCCTTGTTCATTGCCGTTCCAGCCTTACCACCATTCTTTCAGGAGCCTTCATGTTCCGTGCTGGTCTTCAGTTTCGTTCACTTCAAGGGTCACAAAGACTTTTTAAGGGTGTAGAGCTTGAAGTGCTTGTGCAGGAATTTCTCAGACTTAGCACGACTACCACTTGATTACCATTGCCTTATAGATTGATTAGTTGAGTTAGTTTGACGGTTATTGATCAACGACAACTTTCAATGCCATGTTCGTTTGACGTATTCGATTTTCGGCATCCTTTTCACTCTGTAAACTGAGCTTCTACGCTTGAACAAAGCAAAAGGGTTCCATTGAGAGGTCTGACCACTTGCAAGTGTGCAATGCAAAAGTCAGGCTGAGCCGGGGATCGATCTCGGGGCCTAAGCGAGAATCATACCACTAGACCACACAGCCGCTACCCGCAAACTTCTCCAGGTGAATCGATCTGTACACATACTACCGCGACATAAACATACTCCAAGTCCAAATTCGTGTCATATAAGTCGCTAAATGATAAGAAGAGCAGAAATACTGGGCTGCTGTTCCCCAGAATCTTCTTTAGACAAAGTCAAGCAACTTTCGAGGAAACCAGCCTTTTTTTGAGTTCAATGTCTATTTTCAGATAAAAGTTGGTTCCGGACAAAAAAATTTTTTAGTTGCATAGTAGTAGGGGTTCACCCCTCGTCTATAACAATTACCGCCAGAGAGCAGGGAAGGAGAGGTAGTCGGGTTTGAGGTACTCGACTCACTGCTGGGTGAGATGGTTACCCTATGCAAGAAGTTGGGACGTGGGAAGGATATAACACTCGCTTGACCACTGGATAATTTCTATTCAACTGTTCTCCTAGAAAAGCATTTTTTCACCACTCCTGCTCCTTTGCTCCCAATGCTCATGTACTCCTGGATGAAAAACTTTTTTTTACTTTACAGGTTTAAAAAGTCGACTTCTTTGCGCACTGACCCTTACCAGTCTTTATGCTGTGACCCGTCCGCCTTGGGTAGTACGTCAGCGGTTTCGGGGTCCTTAACGCCCTATTTAGGTTGTTTTTTTCTACCTGATAGCGGTATCGTGTGCTCCCTTTAGGGTCACAGTTTTATCTCATAGAAATACCTCACAATTCATTTCGGGTCCGGAATCTTCTCCCCGAAAGCGGCGTCGCGCTTGCCGCACCTACCGCGTATCGCACGATTACGATGGAAGATTGGAGCGCGCAATTTGTGAGGTAGGAAGTCCTTTAATTATTTGAATTGGCTCGCCGATCTCTTCAAGTCCAATGCGATCTTGAATGACGCTAATATAGAAGGCGTCCTATGATAGTTCGGATCCTCGTAAACCATTCCGCTGCAGCATTAGAGGCCTCGGTTGCGGCTCATAGTTTCCCAGAAGAAAACCTTCCCTTTGAATTGCTCATTTCCCTGGGAGTATCGCTCCTTCTGAATCACCAGGCTGTAAGAGTGACTCATCCGATTGAGATCTTACAGTAATCTCGATTACGGTAGGGGGCCTTTCGCTTTGTCATCAGCGATTACTTCTTATTGACTTGCTCTTAATGTTTATATGCCATTAAGGGACATGGTTCATCAGTTGATAAGATACATTGAGAGGTTAATGGTTTACGGACCCACTCACTGCACACTGTTCATTATTCTTCACCTACTTACCAGTTGGTTTTGGTATTACTGTAGTTTCCGATAGTCCGTAGGACGCCCTTACTAGCAGAGTTTTCGTCGATCCTTTCCTGTATAAGGAAGAAGATCACGTTTCATTCATAATTCACTAATTTGAACTTCAAAGTCAAACAAAAGCTATGATCCATACAATCAAGTCTTCTTCTTTGCGCTTTGGAGGGTTGCACGGCTCATTCTAAAAGCTGATTCGATATATTGAATCTTATTTATCTACCAAATATGAAGAACAGCATTCTGATGGCAAAATTGATTTCGTAATAATAACAATTTGGAAATATAGACAGTGAAATATTCGAGATAAAGATACGCCATGCACTTGACACTCAGTAAATTTCGCAAAATCGATTGTTATGCCCAAAAAAGGGAGTTCAAAAGATTGGCATCATCGCCTACTTATTGATATGTGTGGTGTGTTCCAATGGGCTTTAGCAGACGCTTTGGAATGTGTTTATGTCTTGTTCATGCTGATGTGTTGACAGATGGCTGACGATTAGTCAGCGTATACCTACGATTTTTATTCTTTGCTCATTCGAATACTTTCGCATCCAAATGAACCTTCCAACGTTCCATGCACTTTCGATACCACAGTAATTACTATTTCCCCTCTTTGTAATCGATTGTTACTTTTAGAAACCAAAAAAAGTACATGGCGTGCACACCGGTGGTCGTTAGTTGACATTTCCTTATCTAACTACTTCGGATTAAACTGATTTCTGAAATTTTCTAGTCAAAACGCTTCCGAATATTCCGGGAATGGCGTACCTTCAAAGAAATCTATCGAGCTATCATCACCATCTCCACATCGGATTGTTTCCGAGAGATCCTGGTGGCTTCCTCCCGAAGACTGTGATCCTTAACCTTCATGACTTTGTCCATAAATAACCCTATTTTATAAATGTACTATTCATACGGTATCTTCCTATTTACCGTATGCCTTTCGAATTATGACAGGATTTCGAAAAGCTTCGCCTTTCTCAACAGAGGTTGCAGGTAGGTGAGCCGATAGTGCAGATCGATCAGGCGGCTCAGGATGTTCGTCATATTTCTCGCTGCCATCGTTGCCTCGTCTTCCTCGCTGAATATCGATCCAGAATGCTATATGACAGTTGTTAGTTTATACCTTTCTTTAAAAAAAAACAAAAAAAGATACCGTAATATAAATACAGTAACTGCGAGAATTGATCAAAGGATTCAAACATGTCATATAAATTCCCTTAATAGTTCGCGTGCGGGCGAAGCAGCGTACATGAAGCATTTCCCCTCCCCCCTCTCTTTTAGGATACACCAATGGAGACCACTTTTTCACATAACATAACTACAAACAAACTGTGGGACGTAAGAAGATCTAAGTTTTCAAGGTACCGTGGCTCTTTTGTCATGAACAAGGGTCGATAGGTACTACAAAAAGTTACTCTCCCTTCCTACTCGAAACTGATTATTCGTTATTTGAATTTACTATTTATATTTTTTTACAGAATTTTGATTGATTGATTCTTCACTTTGACATTCAGATTGATATTGTTACCTAGCTCCTTTTTGAAATCCCAAGATCTTTCTGAATTTAGCCAGAAATCATTCAACATTACGGTTATCCATCAGAGGTACACATAGTGAGAACTGACGACGATTACATTCTTGAACTTCATCGGATACCATATGGGAAGCATGGTTTGTTTACATTGTTTATCATCCGAATTCCCTCCACTTCATCCTTTTTGTGCCTATTTTTAAGAATAGTTATAATTAATTGCCTCAATTATGTTGAGCGATCAACAGAACGTTCAAGTTGATGAAAACCCGGCTACAAAATTACTTTATCACTTTACAAAAATTAATATTCAGATAACATTCTGACAACAGAATTTCAGATGAAGTCACCCCTAATCGACCGGTTGTTTTTTTACAACACGGAGTATTCTCGGACAGTTTTGCCTGGGCGGCAAACCTGGCGAATGAATCAGCTGGTGAGTCATTTAACAATACTTGATGAGAACCCAATGATAACTTCTTGATTTCTTGACAAATTGGTAACCATGAGTCACCGAACCCTGACATACAACTTGAAAATCGGGTAGGAAAGAGTTATGTCCGAAAAGATATCTATTTATGAGACGTGACTTTTCTAAAGTAGCAGCAAAATGGGCGTGGCCTCCACGAGCTCAAAATAATATGCACGACGCGGTTGATTGCAATATTAAAAAACACGAGATGGGTATGGTGATGGTCATGATAGCAACCTGGGATCCCCAACTTCTTGACTAATTACGATTTTCTGAACTGCAGAGACTCATTTGATGGAAATGTTAGTCAACATACACTGCAGGGTAATCCGTTCTAATGGGGCGGAGGCTTCAACAACAGCCTGCGTTGCAGCTTTATCAACGGTATTCAGAAAGTAAATTCACCTTGGCAAATAAAAATTCAGCGTTCGTCTTTGCCGATGCCGGTCTCGATGTATGGATGGCTAACTCGCGTGGTACGCCGTCATCACAGAAACATATTGGATACGGTCCAGATGAGCCACGATTCTGGAACTTCACGTGAGGACCTATCTATTTCACTTTCATAAGCTAGACGCATGATTCACGATTTTTAGGTGGCAAGATATGTCCACTTTCGGCTTGAGTGCTTCGATAGATTATGTATTGGAAAAAACAAAACAGGTGGGTAACACTTCCTTGGTTCAGTCACTGTTTCCTTTAGGTTATCTTAAGAGGAAAGGGTGTTATCCATTGCATAAGGCAAGGATAGAGCTGTGTTCAGCTATAGCGCTGCCGTACACTTGGTCCGTTAATTCCTAGACCAATCAATTATATCCCCAGATCATTAATGTGGTCCGGTGCTGATCTGGATCTCATGAAAAACATCAAAACAGCAGCTAGTCTTCACCAAAATAATGCTGATCTGTCACTGGAAAGCGCACTTCATTATCCTGAGAAAGGGGCAGGGCTAAAGCCCATACCTAACTGAAGACTCAAGGAAAAGACATTCGGTTTTCTTAGACGAGCCTATAACAAGATAAGTTACCTTGAAAGATCGGACTGAACTCACATGGTAGTGCGCACCACCCCTGAGCAGGAAGCCGCAGATTGGGACAACTAGCTAAGGTAATCAGCCAGAAAATGATGCAGGACGAGACAGCTAACTAGGAATTGTTGCGCGTTATGAGTAAGACCTGATACCGGTTTACCTAAGGCGGCCTGGTGCCCACCCAGATACAAGCTCTGAGGGCCTCCGTCAATGTACAGTTTAGGGAGGACAGGTAAGGCGAATGAATGCTCTGTTGGTTTCGGCAGATCGTAAAGATGGTCCGATTCATTCCTCAGATAATAGCGGAAGTTACCACTAGCTCAACATCAGCCCTGAATTACCAACAACGTTCTATTCGTTAAGGACAGCCTCTACTTTGTCGGTCATTCGCAAGGAACTGTGCTCTTATTCGCCAAACTTGCAGAAGATCCAAACTTTGCTACAAAGGTGAGATTCGTGTCCTCTGATGACAAGCCTTACCTTCTCAAATATACCTGAGGGTGCTCCTTTTGATAATTTTAGGCTTTTTCAGCCAACTTGATACTATTTCCAGATTCGTCAATTTCATGCGCTGGCCCCCGTCGCGACAGTCTCCCATATTGGTGGACTTTTTCGGATATTTGGCTACCGGCTAATAGATTTGGCTAAGGTCTGTCATATTTTGATACTTTCTTTGGAAAAAAACGGAACGTAAAAAAATACCCCATCGGATCATTTGCACAAATCGATTTTTCAGTTCCTACTCGCAAGGATCCCAAATACGCCATTGGTGTTTCCAAAATTCATACAAAAAATCATTAGCTTCTTCTGTAGGTAAGTAGAGCATTTCCACAAATCGGTTTCTATCAGGGATAAATCAAAGCATTTTAGTCTACCGATTGCTCAAGGTGTTTGTACGTTAGATATCGGCTTTATCGATGGCACGGAGAAAATGTTCAATACGGTAAATTCACTTAAAGGAATTTGTCGATCACTGATTATATCGATTTTTTGCTTTAGACTCGAGTTGGCACATACCTCTGCCATATGCCAGCCGCTACTTCATCAAAGAACATTTTGCATTGGGTGCAGGTACGGTTTCTGTATATTACCGCTTTAGGTTGTTTCATGTCGCCCACTCATGCTGTGACATCTATGAAGCGCTCATTCTTGAAGGTCCGCCCACTGAGTAGATGGCTCCGCCCACGACCTTCGACTTGCTTCATCATAATAGTTTTCAAATCTATGATCTCTATCAGTCAGTCCTTCCCAAAATAAAACATTCAGGTGGTTAAATCGCGAAAACTGAACAAATTCGACTATGGTCCCGAAGGAAACATGCGAGAATATGGAACGGTGGGAATTTTTTGTTTCCATCAATTCCTTCAAGAGGTGCTTAATTTTTCATTTCCAGAAAGACCCACCACATTACGATCTGCGAAAAATCCGTACACCAACGTATCTGTATTGGAGCAGGGATGACATCTTGGCTGACATGGATGATATTCGGTAATAACTCCTTTTACAAATCTAGACTCAATCAAGCGGTCGCGTCGCGTTCGTACGAGATGATGGGGACGACGTTTTTCTCGTCGTATTCAATTCACCCGTCTGTGATTCCTGGGAAAAATGACCTGCATGATCGGGAAATTGATCCCGAGTCATGCCCAACCGCGACGCGACTGGTCCCAGAATTCTATGAAATTTCAAACAATTTTTTGGCAAAACGCCTACTGAACGCTCGAAATACAAATCAATAACCAATCAATGATTTCAGGGAAGCGATACTGGAAAAGATGAATGGAACAATACGAGGTAGTTACGAACTGCCCCATTACAGTCACTTGGACTTCGTTTACTCACTGAATGCCACCAACGACATCTACTATCCAATTGTCCTTGATATTCGGAAAGATCTCGATTCCAGACGCATGCTGGCCAGCAATCGAGTTCAAAAATAACTAATAATAAGATAAATAAAATAAAAGAATTTCCTGCTCTGAATGTTTATGGCATATCCCATGTTTATAGAATTGAAAACCCGATCGTGCATTACTCGATAATTCGCATAGCTAAGACGCGCGCGTTTGCGGCGCGTCACCGTGGCAGTGGATTACAAGCTTAACCGCGCCGCAGCCGCGCGCCTCTAACGATATTCACAGTGAAGCGAGGAAATGTGTGCTTATGAAAATTCTCTAAGCATTTCAACGGAAACGGCCAATAATCGCTACAGTATAACAATGAAAAACCAATAGTTTATTAAGGTGAGATTCACAACGTTGTCGAACAATAAACAGAAGCCAGAAACTGACCAGATTCAGAATTTGGTAACCCATTTTGGTTAAACACCACAGGTGACTATGATAGACATAGGAAAGAGAAGAGAAATTAGAGAAGAAAAGCAAAGAAAAATCTGGCGGTTAGCGCACAGACAACCAGGCATGCACTAACACTGCGTCTCTGACATCGGGATTTGGGGGTACTAGAAGTTTCGCAGGGTCTATTACTGTAAATAGACACACATATACATAACTACTTACATGGCGGTCTAAACATTCAACAGATTGGTCAGTTAATTGGAAAATTATTTTAGAAGGCTAGCGACAGAATTATTTATGGAAAAAATAGGTATAGTTATTCTAAAATGGCTAATCAATTAGTCGATTGTCATGCCCACACCTCATCCAAGCCGTGGTTCTCGTGAAGTTCAATCGGCATCAGATTCACGGGAAATAGTTTAGTTTTGGTTAGAAAAGTGGTTTGAATAGCTGCCAAAAAGTGACAGATGTCCATGCGGTGCCTACGGCAGCCACGGACAACTTTCACAAATGGACCCGATGCCGACCCGATGGAGTGTCGATTATTCGGTGCTGTTTGTTTTTTGGTATGATGACGATGAGACCGTGAGAAAGAATCGTAGCGTGATGGTACAGACATCATAGAGTCCAGATCATATCGATTTCTCATATCAATCAATAAATGTATAGAAATATGTATAGATATATGGAAGAAATTTGGTGAAATTCCAACGATCAATTTCCCGAGGCGTTTGCACGCTGTGGACGAGGCGAACATGTCGTCGAAGAACCGCGTCGTTGTGGTGGATTTGTGCCGAATTCTTTGAAGAAGCGGAAGCTGAAAAACCAAAATCAATCAATAATCGATAATAATCGAGTAATCGACCGATATACAAAGTATTCTATTTTGAGGAATAAGTTGTATTAAGAGAGTGATATGGTAACAAAAGTATGGTTCATAAACTCACAATCTCCGTACACCGCTATCTTTCCGTTCATACTTCCACGGATAGAGTTTCTCGTCCGGTTCTCGCGGCAACGGACCATAAACCAACACTTCGTCGCTTTCTTCACCCGTTCTTGGCTCATCACTGAAATATTAACGTTGATATATGTTGATTACTCATTTGATTATAATCAACCGCTTCCCAGCAAGGCAAGGTTGGGGTTGAACTTTAAAGCCGGGGAGAAGCAGGTATTGTTAAATTTGAAATCCAGATTTTATCATGGTTGTAAGCTTATATCGGCTGACTACTACACTCAGCTACCAAATAACTTGAAGGAACCAATGGATCCTGTACAATTCTTGAAAATTTTTTGAAAATAGCGATAGTACGGAGGGTAAAAGTCGTATGTCGCGCATCTATGGTTCAGCGGTTCAGACCCTTCTAGCGGTGCTACCGAAAACGGGTGCAAATTCTGGCCCCTGCATAATATGCACAAGCGAATACGCTCGAAATCGCCCCCGACAATTCCGGAGCTACAAGAGCAAGTCGCATTGTGAAGAGATTGGTGCTTGCAAAATGTTTCTTTCCCCACAAATCGATACTCTGCTCAGCACCAATCGATCCCTCCTGTGAATCCACCACGCATCTGCGTTTTATCAAAAAAAAAATGGTGAATGTTAGAGCGCAAATTTGATTTAGGGGTGACCTATAAAATAGGTTTTCTTGGGGTACCGACTAGTCGTATCCGCAGTTACAAAACACTGACTCAACTAAGAAGATCAACTATAAAGGAAAAGATTCGCTTAATGGTCAAGGTAATTTGCTAGCTTTCAAATACTGTGAGTTTCTATATAAAAGCAAAGTGGACCCAACCAAAAATATCCAATTTTCCATGCCCTTAACCATGCCGAGGAGTAGGGAAGATCGTGAGAAAAACTTTTTTTTGCGCCACTTCCGGAGAATTCTTAGAGCCCTGGGCTGATTGCGAGGTTTACGAGACCACAGAGAAGTGCTGAGAACTTGTGAAAACACCACTCGACTGCCCTCAAGCTAGGAAGTGTCGGACGACAAAATTGTGTCGGATGACAAAAAAA